CTTAGACACATATACGCAAAACCCACGGACACAGACAGCACTGTGGGGAAGGCCTGGGGGGCAGATGCCTGGCGGAGGGGACCAATGTGGGGAGAAAGGGGGCATCTGTCATACTTTCAACAATAAAGATGAATTTTAAAAAGTAATAAAATGAAGCCTGCTAATGATCGCAGACTCGGGGTTCCTAAATGTTGCCAACCTGGAAATCTTACGGGTTTTAATTGATGTTCTGCAGAGAGAGCGGCCAGCCCAGAGGTGGGTCATGACTCCCTGAGCTCATTTCTTCCTGCCCCCCGGGGGTGCTGACTGCTTTGCACAGTGAAGATGAGAGCCAGGAGCATGGGCGGAGCCCTCGGAGGTGACCACTGAGCACGCGGCCCATGGCTGGTCTGAGCCGAGACTTGCTCCGGGTATGAACTGCGCCCTGGATTTGCAGCCCACAGTGTGAGAGAGAGACTGGGAAATGCCTCCCTAGAATCTTTATATTGACCCTATGCTAAAATTATAGTATTTTTTGCAATACTGGGTTAAATAAAATATGCTATTAAAATTCATTCTACCCATTTCTTTTTAAATCTGGCTACGAGGTATTTCAGATGGAGATCTCCTCTCTGGGAGCAGCCCCAGGGCACTAACGCATCTGGCGTCCACCCGTGTGAGGAGCTGAGTGGGTCGTGTTGCCTGTGATCACTGGGTGTCACACAGCGACACACTTTCAGGGATGTTCTGCTGGCCCTGAGGAAGCAGCGGCCACCTGTGAGGTCAGAGAAGGGTAACGGAGGGCTGAGGCGCGGGACAGTCTCTTACTTCGCCGATCTACTGACAGACGGGCCGTGCTCAGTCTGGGACAGGGGGCATTTGTGCACACGCAGCTCCAGGTTTGTTTTCATGCGTGTGGCTCACGGCTGCAGTCCTGTGCTGGTACAACGCGCAGGGGCCCAGGCCGGGCCCGACGGCCTGACGCACCTGCTCCCTCTGCTCCTGAGGCCTCGGGTGGCACAGGGGGCAAAGCAGCCGGGACGCGTCTTCAGGGACACGTCCGGTCCCTCCCTGCAGAGCGCACCCCCCGCAGGGGCTGCCGTTTCCCCTAATTGTGCGCCCTCCGTAGAAGTGGGGCTGCTCGCTGTCTCCTCCACCGCCCGCGGTAAGGATTCCGCTCCCAGGCTTCGTGGAAAGGCAGCCGTCGCCTGGCTGGGTTTGCCGATGGGGTGGAGCGGCTGGGCGGGCGAGGCGGCCCGGGGGCTCCTGAGGGTGCGGCCCCCACGCCAACCTGCTCCTCCTGCCGCCTCCACCCTCCTCCCTGGGTGTGGCGGCACCTGGGACCACGGGTGACAGGGCGGCGGGGGTGAGGACAGCTTCGTCCCCACACAGAGCCCCCGTCCGCCCGCACTGCCTGGCCCCGAAGCCCTTCAGCAGGGAGAAACCTTTTCCATTGGGCGTAAGCTCCTCTCGGGCTTGGATTTTTATCACATAATTTTTATTACCTAATTCTAAAGAGTTTATCTCAGAGTCGTCTGTTAAGGAGGCTTCAGGATTTATGCTTAATTTTTATGGTCTAATGTTTTACTGTTGCAAATGTGCTCAAATATACATTTTGTTAAAACTTTAAAACCCTGCTTGTTATGGTTCCCGAGGCAGTCAGCTCTAGGGAAGGCACATGGGTCCGATAAATGCTTCTTGCGAGAAGACACTGTCTTAAGATTTACTTCCAGCTATGGCTGCTCGTTATTTCAGAAATTTAAAAGCAATACATTGAGCAAGATCCAAGGGATTTGTCCCTGGAAACGAAGGGGCCTCCAGTTTAAGGAAAACAAGAGACTCTCGGCTGGGAGGGGAAAGAAGACAAATACGCTGACCCTCTGGTTTTGGACACGAAAGACACGTCGGAGTGGCCGTGGGACTTTCAAGGGCACCAAACGAAGCAGGCCACACAGCAAAGGCCTCACGGGAGAGCTTTCATCTTCAACACTATGACCGTGGGACAGGAATGTAGGAGAGCAGGGCGTGGACAGACGCCTCCTCTAATTACCTCCAGGGGCAGGAGCCTGGGGCTGAGCAGGACGGAGGAGACGAGCCCTTGGCCAGGAGGGAGCAGCTGTCTGCTAGGCTGTCTGTGAAGAGATAAGCCCCTGAGGGCTGGAGGCCCAGTCTGGTTATAACTTGGGCTGGGCACTGAGAAAGCGTCTGAGTGTGAGATGAGATTCAGGGCAACGAAGGGAAAAGTCATGGGTTAATAAATCAGATGAGAATCCAATGATACCCTATGCACACATTTCCTTTATGTTACTGTAACAATTGAAAACAGATGTACATTTACCAGCTGTGTCCAGTCTCGCCTTTAAAGTAATGACATATGTTGCAGGGATACAAGAGCAGGAAGCGCGGTAAAGAATAAAAGTGCATTACTTTCCTTAGGGGAACTCCAGCATCTGTGACACGGCCTCATTTATGACTGGGAGCATTGAATATTACCAACACTTGGTGGGAACATAAATTTTCCTGCAGTTCCTTTGAAACCTAATAATGTCACATTTTAGTATGACACAGTATACAAAGTAGCCATTCACATTGGCTTGACTGGAGATTGGTGTTTCTCTGTGAAGATCTCCATGTCCTAGGAACACTCACCTGCACTGGACCACCCACCTGCAGCCCAACCACCCACCTGTACTGGACCACCCACCTGCAGCCCAACCATCCACCTGCGCTGGACCACCCACCTGCAGCCCAAACACCCACCTGCACTGGACCACCCACCTGCAGCCCAACCATCCACCTGCGCTGGACCACCCACCTGCAGCCCAAACACCCACCTGCACTGGGCCACCCACCTGCAGCCCAACCACCCACCTGTAGCCGACCACACTCTGCTCTACCCTCTGTGCCCAGAGATGCTGCATCACTCTCTGCTCTACATGCTCAAAGCCACAGGTGGGTACAGGTAAGGGGTCCACTAGGGGAAATTCTGCAACACTATTTTTACCTTAGATGAAGCCAGCAATGTATTTGGTAACTACTCTGCTTTGCAAGATTTAACCTACATTGTTTAAAAATGTATAAGTCTATTCACCCAAAACAGACCATAAGGAAAGTCTTATAATATACGAAACCGGCCTTTTACTCCTGATCAACTTAGTGCTACTTTTTTCTTATCTCAAAACTACCAATTTGCATAAGTTATTTTATTGCCAAAATGCAAAGCAAAACAAAAATATCTTAGTTTTCTTTGGATTTTGTTAATTTTTCCACATTAAACAGCCCTTGGTTTTCTGCTCGGCTCCCCACAGTTCTGCAGGACGGGTCACAGGCTCCACACAGGGACAATGCAATACTGTCCCTTCTCTGAAAGCAGGACGGTGCCACGCTTTGTCCCACTAACTATGTCAGAGGTCAGTTTAAGGTAATTTATTAATGAAATATTAGCCTGGGCTCCTGCTAACAAACCCTGTTTCACTGATACGGTTATCGGTGGGGAGCTCTCCGTGTCCCCACCTGCGGCTGGTGGAAGTGGGCTTCCTGTGATGTCACGAGAAAAATAATTTTCTGAAACTCTCATGGGACAATGAGTGATGTTTATTTGCATGGAATTAAACATGCAAATAAAGGGGTTTCTAAGGCCCCCTCTCCCTGCATCCAGCCATGGAAGAAGTGAAGCTGGGGCTTCATCCGAGCTAGGATTAGAGCCATTGCCCAGAGCTTCTGCTCCATGTTGGAGCACAGTCCAGTCCAGCACCAGGCTGGCCTAGCTTGTGTTCCCAGCTGCAGTCCATGGGTCCACTGCATGGGGGGTCCACATAGCCACATGGCTGTGAAGGGAACACAGGCAGGAGCAAAGCCAGAGGAACAAAAGAGGACCCAGAGAGTGAGAACTGCTTCATCCAGGGGTTTCAACCCCTTAAGATTTCGCAAGCTTGCAGTGGCCCCTGCTTTCTGGCCAACGATCTCTGTTCTAAGGTTTGATGGACAGCCACCTTCCCTATGTCACCCCAAGTTTACTGTGCATGTGCCCATCCCCCCCTTTGGTGGACCCCTTTCTCCAGTGATTTGCAGGGAACGGACTGGTGGTTCCCTGGGGAGTGTGAAATTACAGCTTCCTGGTGAAGCTGCCCGGAGGACCATGCTTATGATGCCTGGCCTCCCTTTAGCTCCTTTCCTATTATGAATAACTAGCTAATTACATGGTAACAATATCATAACCCAGGAGTCAGCTTCACAGCCATTGAAGGTGGTAACTTTTACGTGAACAGGGATCAGTTTATGAAACATTTTCATACATATGCAGACCGTGTATATAAATATAGACAGATAGCTGAGGGCCGTTACATTGAGCATGTGTGAGTGTGAGTAACTCGATTTGCTCATATCTTTTCTGAATTTTAAAACCACAAATATCTTTGAAAATGTCGGCCTCCTAACAAATTTCAAGGAAATCTTTCTTTTACCCACATCGCTGTGCACATGCACTGTTACCAAATTCTGCTCTGTCTCTGCACAAGGCTTTGTGCTTAAGTCTCACTGTGGATTCAGAAAAACATGTGAACCCTAAAGATAGAGGGAATCTAGGCGATGACCCACCGCGCAGTCCTCACCTCGGCAAATCGGCCGGTGGTCGCTCCAGGCAGCCAGCGTCTCGGTGACCCGCTGGCAGGTGATGCTCTTGGACCCCTGGAGCACGTAGTTATCTTCGCAGGAGAACTGCACATTGGCTCCAACCCTGAGCAAGTATAAAACACAAAGGACCCCCATTATTCATGGAAGACTTCTTAAAAAAATCATCACAGGGCTGCTACTGTGTCATGCTGTTAAAACGATATTAAACCTTTAGCAATCCAGTCGAGGCCACCCACAGATTCCCCGTCATGTAGCACAGAATACAGTCAAGAGACCTGGGTTCAAATTTCTGCTCTGCCAGCTTCGTAGCTAAATACACACATGGAACTTAATGCATCCTCTCTAAAATACGTAAGCTAGCAAAGGAGGCCTGCGTGTTGTGGCTGAAGTGAGAAAATGGGAAAGAACCATGTATCCCAAAGACAAAACCAAGTTGGATGTCAGTCCATGTGAACAGATATCTCACAGGAACAGGGACTGAAAAAGTCCAGGTCGCGAAAAGTCTCAGTACAAGAAAGACACAAGCTGCATAATTCTACTCCTGTGAGGTCTGTAAAATGCCAACTTCACACAATCAGAGCCCAGATAGTGGCTGCCGGGGCC